AATAATGCAAAAAATTAACAAAAAAGGTTAGCATAGACTAAATAGTAAGGGAATGTTTACATGTTCGATGCTTCGAGCTGGTGAGTCTGCCTGATTGTGGCCATGTGCAGGGTGAAATTCGCCATAACCTCTCCGGGTCCAGGAGGAATGGATAACCGTGGATTGCCACTAGTTGTCCCCCTTTGAAAAAAACAAAAAAAACCTAACCTTGTTGGGAATGCGTTATCAATTATCTTATCATTTTGTATTCTCAGATTTTCTTTTACAAGACCCTCCTTTTAGGGTCGTAGTGATTCTTTTATTGTAATTTTATTACCCATTTAATAAATGATTATTCACACAATGTGGCAATTAATGATAATAAATCAGAGGCTCCTAGTAACCCCAGCAACAACAACAACAACAACAACAAAGTCTTATCTCACGATATGGGGTCAGCTATATAAATCTTTGAACACCATTACGCTCGGTTTTATGCCATGTCCTTCATCATATCTAAGTAGTCCAAGTCTTTTCTTATAGTCACTTTCGAAATCTTTTTAGGCCTTCCCCTATCTCTTTAGCTCTAAGCTTGTCTTGTAATCACATCTTCTAATCGGAGCATCTGTAGGTCTTCGTTTCACATGTCCAAACCACCTTAACTGATTTTCTCTCATTTTATCTTCAATTTTGGCTACTCCTAATTTACCTCAAATATCCTTGTTCCTAATTTTGTCCTTTCTCGTGTGCCTACACATCCAACGAAACATTCTCATCTCCGATACACTCATTTTGTGCATATGTTGATGCTTCATCACCTAACATTTTGTACCATAAAACATTATTGGCTTTATTGCCGTCCTATAAAATTTAGGGAGTTTTAACGAAACATTCCTGGTACTGTTTACTTTTAACGAAAAACCACATTTTTATCTTTTCCTGGTACTATTCACTACACCTTTATTTGTCATTTTTCATTAAAACCAAAGTTTTTTTTGGACTTTTCGTTAGTTTTCCTTAAAAATTTCCCAATGCACTCTTCCATTTCATCCATCCAGTTTGTATTCTATGATTGAGGTCTCCATCCAATTCTCCGTTCTTTTGCAAAATAGATCCAAGATAGTGAAAGCGATCATTCTTCAGTACTTCTTGATCCTCAATCTTCACCCCTAACTCATTTGAACCTCTAATCCCATTGTACTTGCACTCCATATACTTTGTCTTTGACCTATAGATTCCAACACTTCTGGTCAAATGTTAAACTTTGCATTTACTCCCTCCTGAGTTTCATCTATCAACACTATATTGTATGCAAAAAGCATACACCAAGGAATATCATCTTGGATATGTCTCGTTCACTCATCCATTACCAATGCAAAAAGGTAAGGACTTAAAGATGAACCTTGATGTAACCTTACAGTTATGGGAAAAATTTCGGTTTGTCTTTCATGAATTTTTACGACAGTCCTTGCTCCATCATACATATCCTTTATAGCTTGGATATATGCTACTCATACTTTTTCCTCTAAAATCTTCCAAGGAATATCTCTTAGGACCCTATCATACACTTTATCCAAATCTATACACACCATATTTAATGCTACATGAAAATTCAAGGTATCAGCTGCACAAACTTAACATATCTAAGCCTAAATGTTCACAAAATCAATCATTCATCAATGCACCACAACTATCTTTTTAACTTAAACATCAAGCAACCTATAGTAATACATTAGGAGGAAATATATCAATCCATAATATAACCATCATCAGAAGAATGATTCAACATTCAGCACAAAGAATTCATTACTACTATATTTGGAATAATACTACTGTATCACAAAGATTAAACATGATATAGACCTACCATCAGGAATTAGGATCCCTACCTCGTGTCCGCTTAGCTAAAATATCAACATAAGCCTCCAAACTATCCGGATCCATTCCCAAGCCTAGAACATATACAAACTCAATTCCCGCTCAACGAAAATTTACCAAACTTTAACCAACTTCTATGTCACCAACTCTTAATAATCCAAGTTCGAGACCCCATTTTGTGACCCTGTTTTAACCCCTCAAAACTCCATGAAAATAGATGAAATTACCTTAATTTTAAAGTTTGTCGTACCTGGCTCCCAACAAAAATGACTTAAAACAGATTTTAGAGGAAAACATAATCGAGCTCAAAAGTTGGGTTCATAGACTGTTTTTTGCCGAAAATTTACAGACATTCAGAATTTTTTCACAGTTTCAATACCTTTTTTTTCATAGCAAATCTTGACCGAATTTGATGGAGTCAAATGGGTTTTGTTCCTTATCGTGTCTAGTTTCAAGGAAATAAAAAACCCTTAAAAATGTGAAATGAATTAAGAGAAAACAAAAGCCAAAGTAAGGCTCATGGACATAAATTTCCAGAAAAAGCAAAGTTGCAGTATTTTGTCAAAACTTGTTTCCAGAAAAAGGAAAGTGACATCTCCATCTCCTTCGTTAAGGCTCAAAATCATACCTTAACATCATATCATTGACTAAGAATTACCAAGCCCAGATTAAAACTAAAAATTAAACAACCCAAATTTGAAAAATTGGTTTGTTTCTTACTTCCCACTTGATCTCTTAGTTTCAATGGAAATCAAACAATTTTTAATTTTGATGCAAAAGTAAAATTTCAACTAAAAAAGATCAAATATGAAATTGTATGAAAATGGAAAAATCAAACAAATCAAACTTTAACCTTTTGAACAAATGAACACTTCAGCCATTACTTTTCTCTTGACTCTCTCTCTATTTAAAGCTGCTTACTCAATATTTCTAGGCTACACATATCACCGAAGATCTATGAGCAAATCGGATTGTAATTTGTGATTCACTGTTGTGATGATCGAGAAGAAGTAGAAAAGTTTAGGATTTTTTCCACATATAACTCAAAGAGGAAATTATAGCAATAGTCTATCAACTTTAATTCAATTAGAGTAATGGTCTCTCAACTAAAAATTCATGACTCTGTTAGAACTTACATCAAAATGAATCATGTGCTACACAAGTGAGGCTGAATTAAGATGCAAATATAGAAAACCAAATGAGAAAATTGTAGTATTGGTCCCTTAACTTTAACTTAAGTGGAGAAATGGTCCCTCAACTGTAATATAATTGGAGCAATGATTCCTTAACATTAACCCAATTGTAGCAATGATACTTCCAACATGAGTCATTTTGACGGAATTCTAACAAGGTTGACGAAAAAGACTATAGATGCACATTTTGTTGAGGTATGGAATTAGTGGTCATGAATTTTTAGTTAAGAGACCATTGCTACAATTTTCTCTAACTCAAAAACAATTATTCCAATAGAATATCTATAACAACAATACTCTATAATTCATAAAAAGCTACATAATATAGTTCTAAATACTACCACACAAGTGCGCGCACGCGCACACACACACACACATATAGGGAAATGTTATTAACATTCCAAAAATCTCATTCTACACTTTTCATAAGTGTCTTTTTTTTTTTTTTTTTCTAAATATAGAAAATTTGGAGTGCCAAATGAGATTTTTTGAAGTGTTAATAACAATTTCCTATACATATATATTCCAAGTGTTACAGTAAAATTCTACATTTAATCATTATATAATACACATTAAGCAATAAAAAATACTTACCTCTTGGAGCGCTACCATGGTTTATACCAAGGTTGTTAACCTATTGGATGGGCCTTTGAGTTGTTTCCCTCATCAGAGTTTGAACCTAGAATGTGAACTATGCAAATCCTCAGACAATCTATGCTTGCACTATTTATAGTAAAACAACGATATTTTCTTCATTAAAGATTGGAATTATAAACTGTAAAGTATTGTGGAAAGCTAACATTTGTAGCTTTCCAACTATATAAGCCTCGTTGTCCAATTATGTTCGAGGAATTTAGTCCACAAAGTGGATTGATATGCACAAGCAAATTGTAAGTTACCTTTTACCCTGCAATGGAGTCGGTTCTTGTTTCGTATTGGAACTAATTTATGTTTCGCTTTGGAATTATGCTTTGTTGCGTCCGGAGTTGCAAACACACTTTTCATGTCATCCAGATTAGCTACTATTTCCTTCAGGTTGCTAACACACTTTGCATGTCCTCCAGATTAACCAATACTTGCACTTTAGCTTGTGAACAATGACATGTTGTCTAAGGTTAATTGCTCCACTCATTCATTCTTGATGAAGCATTAGGGATTTGTAAGATTATAAGAATACAAGAATACTATGATTACTTGTGGGACCATAATTTTCTGGGACCATGACACATGGTACTCAGGGTGGTTAGAATGATTGGAAAGCCTTTAGAGTGAGCCTAGAGCTACATGGGTATTCTGAATCGGATTACCACATGCCCAGGAAGTCCGGCACAACTCCATTAGCTCTAAACCCATTAATGATATTATTTATCTGCCAAGTAAGGAAACCTAATTCATGTCAAATTAGGATATCTTGGGGATTAGGCAATATAATCATAATCATAGGAAGATTGGATATCTTACCCTAATTCTCTCCTAGATATTCTCCTGATTTAATGGTGATTACTCTCTCAAGAACTCTATAAATACCCTAGCCTAGGCATTTATCTGGGCCCTTCTCTTTGATCATCGAAGGACTTTAATCCCATATTCTGTATGCCTAATTCGTATTCTCTACATGCTGTTTGTTTATGCGAAGACATGGAGAAACATCTTGCCTAAGCCAATGCACCTTTATCAAGGATGTATTCCGATGAAGCACACATCATACATACTCCTTTCTTAGGACTACACCAGTGGTTGATTCTCCAACACTGGAGGTATATAGGAGGTCCAATATGAATTCAATCACACCCACAATCAACCCATTCACCCCTTGCAGTAATTCATCGGTAATTCCGATTGAACATTGCCTCTGTCTGAGGATGTATGCGAATTTAGTTTCAGCAAAGATTATGGTACATTATTCTATATTGCGATTATGAAACAACGGTCCAATAGATTCTTGTTTGAATATATAGTTCAGATTAACAAATAGAAATATAAATTATATTTCCATCTTTGAATTAATTTACAATCCGGGGGACAGTCTATGTCCCTCAATTTGTCCAAAAAAAAAATGAAGAAATTTGGGCGTCTAACTAGTCATCTCTATAAGAGTACAATGTTTGTTCACATAAAAGAAGAAGAAAAAAATCAATAGAAATTCGAAAGAGGTTAATTACTCTCCTATTCTACGCAGCAAATAATCTTCTTACTTTCCGAATGAATCTTCGACATATCGGACATGTCTTGGTCTCCCCATAAAAAATCCTGGAAAATGTAAGATCTTTAATAAGATATCCAAATTTCAATCGAACACCAACATACGAAATCTGAAAGATTTCGAAATTTTTTCGACGTACCTTTGTGCACAATCATAGCAGGTAGCACAGTGGCCACAAGGAACCAAAAAACAATCCCTCTGCTCGGTGTAGCAAATCACACATATTTTCCCATCATGCAAGTCCTCGGAGGAGCTCGTAATTACGGCATTGCTGCTATTACTACTGCTGCTGCTGCAATTTCCTGATTCTATATCCCACTCGTCACATGTCCCATATGTTGATGGCATTGTCTTTCCTGCCGGCTGTAATGGGTCGGTTTCAGCATTGTCTCCTACATCCTCTACGCTCGTCTCCTCGTATTCGTTTATGTATTTCAGTATCATGAATGCAACAATCACAAGCAGTGCTGCATTACATGTATGGTTGATGAAACTGCATCAGTTAATGTCGTCAATATGAGCAGTTTGAATTAAAAGTTTGACGAAATCTTACTTAAAATTGCAATGTACGCAATCAAGCGCACTAGAAAAGTTAGCGTGACGCACCATTCTACCAAATCATCCTGTCATTATACAAAGGGAAAAAAAATAAGATCTCTTCCATTTACTAATGATGTGTTAAAACTTTCATTATGCAGATACTTTTGCAACAAGAAAATGCAACATTATATGTAATGTAATGTGTCTTACGTCATAGGTAATACTCGTTAAATTGGAAGGCTGAGAGTTGATCGATTGAAGCTTCCGATGAATTGTCAGTCCATCCATTATAGAATACATTCCTACAGCTCAGATATGCCACCAACAGTTTTTTTCCCTGCAGTATAAAAACAGAGAATTCAATAACAGGATTGATCGATAAGATACAATTTTCTATATTTTCAGCATAAGTAGGTAAGACAGAGAACACGCATGAAGAAGTTGTTATATTTTGCTGCAAACATGTTTAGAGGCGGACCAAGCAGTTCTGCTGTATGAGTTTATATCCCTATATATGTGTGGAATAAATGCAAGTTGCATCAAATGTGTGTTCCTAAATGTAAAGTAACAGACAATATAAGATCTGAGAGTTAAAATCTACTCAACCTTAGTTAAATGTGATGGGTGGGACGAGGCTAAAGATTTTTTATTTTTTATTTTCTAACAATTGTCGTTAATAAGATATGAACTCACTACTTCTAACGAAATGAAAACAGGTGATCAAATCTCGTTGAAGATGAGGTCAAAGATCCAAGTACAAATCTTCATATCAATTCGAAAAAACAACATTAACAAAACAGAAATAATGAAAACTCAAACATTTACAGAAGTGCTTCATGCATTACCTCAATACACCTCGAATTGAAGTGCTGAGTTCAACTCCAGCTTCAGCGGAGAACCACAGAGCGCTCCGACTCCAAGTACATTTCAGAAGGGAATGAGAATGCTAATGGTGCATTGGCCACTATTTCACAGAGATCTAATTGAGCAAATGAGAAGAAAAGTAGTTGGTTTTTACTGAAAGATTGCCTAATATAAGATGAAATGCTTGAAACTCTAATAGTATATGAGTAGTAATGTAATAATAATGCACAAAACGTGCACCACAAAAATTTGGTAGAAGCTAACTTGAATGAGCTTTGAACATTATCAGAAAGGTGGTATGAGCTAGACCAGGTTGGAACCAGATAAATTATAAATATAAATGTGTATATAATTCATAAATTTATATGTATATACGTATAAGACGTTGAGGTCTGAAAGGCATGAAAAAATGGAATGGTAGTTGGTGATTTGGGGTTAGTAGATAGCAGTACTCGACAATCTTAACTAACCATCTTTTTCAAAAGTCTCTGCGGGGTAATGGACATGCAATGACTTTCTATCTTGAATGGTAGGTCGACCCTTTTTGTGTAGGAAGGTGAACACCAAACAACAACTTGAAATTAAGGTGAAAGTACAAACTGCTTGGCCTTTACTGATTCACTTTGGATGGTAAGATTATGGTAGGCTTAGGAAAAAGAAGTGATTTCTGCACATTATTTTTCACCTCGTTGTATTTTTAAATTTGATCATTTATTATTTTTTGATTTGTTCAATCCAATGACATCATCTTCTGCTAGGAAATAATGTTAGAAATAAATAAATTAAATAATTACGTAAAATCAAATTTTTATAAATATGAATATTGATCAACATACAAATTAATGCGTCACATAACATATGGTAAGTTCCATAATGACTTCTATATGAATAAACCGACACATCAGTTGGGATCTCACACTTTGGGACGAGAGTTAGTTATCAAATATCATTTGAATAACTTGGGTTTTCTTGTTTCGGGTACGTAGCGGGGGGAATGAGTTAATATTAGGGGCCTGATTCTTTTGAATTGCTATGAGCGGAAGGGCAGAGTAGGTCGCACGGTTAGGGCCCGACCGAGCCCTCATGTATACTCTAGCTTGCCTAATCTTCTGTGACACGAATATAAGTTTTCTTTATATTATAGTAGGTCGAATATACGTTTTTTAATAAATTAAAAAAAAAAAAAAAAAAAAAAAAATAGAGTAGAGAAACTATTTGTTGTTTGGATATGCCGGGATCAATGTGCGATACATGTAGATGTCGGCATCGAGCAGTGGAACATGTAAGTACGGGCTTTACTTATGTGCTTTTGCTAGAGAAACTGTTGTGCAAGTTGTAGATGACACTCGCTCAAGTACACAAAAGTACGTCTGATCCAGATACCCACAAGCCCATTCTTGCACAATGCCCAATCCCATAATTGGACTGGTTAACGAAGAGGCCAAGACGGATCTTTTGAATTTGTTTTTGAAATTTGGTTGTCCTCTTCTCATTGTGTTTTCCGTTTTTAATTTGTTTAGTTTTTTTGGTATTTGTAATTTATGGGTCAGTTTTTCACCTTTTTATTAAAACTAAAAACTCGTTAGGTAATTATCTTTAATTAAAAAAAAAAAATTCGACAACCAAAAAGTGAAAACTACTTTCTACCATCATCGCCTATATACTTTCAGGTGGTTGTACAACTTGAACTGCATCCGGTATATATAAGAGCGCTTAAGTGCTAACTAATTAGTAACTTAATACGGTTCTAATCAATCATCTAGACTCATTCCACATATTGCTCACAATTTGAACCTATCATGTTTTATGTTATCACTTAAAGATCATCTTTACAAAATTTTACTGAAACTGAAAAACGTCTAATTATCTAACTGTGACATAATAAATAGACAAACACAATATTGTTGATAACCTATGATTATGATATATTCACAACAGTAATTGAAGGGCTAAACGATTTTCGATTTGAGTGAATCTTATCTAGAATAATTTATGAATGAGGGCCTAAATAGGAAAAACTAGATGAAGGGGTTGAATTTCTGATAAAATAAAATATGTACTAGCCAACTAAAGACATGAAAAACGAATGTAGTTTGAAGATCCTATCAAAGTGACAAAAATACTCACCATCCAAAAAGTAACGTTAATTTCTAATGTGTCGCCACACACTCCCACATTGCCTTTTACCAAAGTTTGCCTTGTCTGGAAGGCTCATCAACTTTTCACTCTTTTTTTGACATAGATATCGCTTTGGTCATATTTTCCCTTCTGCACCAAAGCTTTGTGACCTCCAGTTCTTTTAGTGATGGTACTTTCGTGTGGATCCATGCAGTGTTCTTTCCTTTCTCTTTTTTAAGAAAAAGGAAAATGTATCATCTCAGTCGACAGAACAGAACCCTCATGGCAGCTTCCTATATTAGACACTAGCATGAGAAAAGAGGGCCTAAAAATAAAATAAAAAAACAAAAAAATAAAGGTTGCAGTGCTCTTTTAACACCGATCAGGAAATATAAGAAAAGCATCAAATAATATTAAAGGTACATCATGCATGCAGCTTTAGCACCTTCAGCTGTATGTGCAATGTATCCAGTAGTTTTCTGCTATTAGCCTTCCAGATATAGATTTCGGTCTCGATCGATTATGCATTAATAAAAAACTTTACGTAGGGACGTCGACGTAACATCTTAAATAACTAGGCACTGCACAATCCTTGTATATTAGACAACGTCGATAATAAGAAAGGGGAGCTCTTGATGTTTCTGGGTTACATGAGGATGTGAAGTAATGTTTCATATTTAATAATTTTATAAGAAGTTAAAATGCTCTTTATACTATAGACTGATTTTATGATAGAATCTCAAATTTTTTACTACTTGAGTGCATTTGAAGATTAATAATAAGATCAAAAGCTCACAATTTGGAGCTCGGCGATCAATTAAAGGAAATAAGCCCTTCGTGGCCACCGACTACGTAAAACTGTTTAATAAGTGTGGGTGCTGATCCCCTTGGTCAAGTTAATTAAAAAGCTAAATTTACTATGGTTGACTGCGCAGTCGATCGGCACTTTTTGTTTGCTTTTATTCCAGCGCAGGAGGAACACGCAAATTACTGTCATAACCTCTTTATTGTTATTGATATTATTTGGGTTAATATTTGAATATTGGGTTTTGGATAAGGGTAAGCTTAAAAGCGCCAAAACAAGTTGAATTTTCCCGAAGCCTAGCAATGAAGCCTGAAACAAATTGAAGCCTTCTCAGCCAAGGCATATGCCACATGCCTATGATTGAAGTGACAAGTGACAGAGACCAACTCATTACCAACCAAAAATCACTTTTTGATGGCATAAAAGTGTAAATACAAGATGACTTACCGCCCCTGAGAGCCCTCAGCCAAGAACAAAGCTAAGACAGTCGAGCCAAACTGCCTATAAAAGGAGAAAGAGACAACAGAAATAACGACACTCAAACCAATCAAACAAACCACATACAAACTCTGCTCTCAAGCCAGATTTGCATCTAGAAAGCTGAAACTCACCCAAATTCAGTCTTTTAGCAATAATTCCCTTAGAAAAGCTCTCTTTTGTCCAGTGTAAAAGCTCTGCTACCCTTCCATAGTGTTGTAGTATCGATTCCCTCGTGTAAAACCTATTTACCATCCATCCCTTTTACCATATAACCTCTGTAAACTCAAAGAGAAATGGCTCCAAGATGGTCAACCTTGCCTGACAAGGTGAAATCTTGCCCGAGTCTCTTTGTTCGTCATTTACATTAGTAGATCTGTCGCTTAAATGTATTTTTCAGCATATATTCAAGTTATTTCCAACTGTTCTCTACCTAAGAGTCTCATTTGCATTCGAATCTAGTTAACTTAATAAACCTGTTTTCATTAAGAACAAATTGGGATCAAGGAAATGGTTTAAAAGGCTTTGAACTTCCTTATTTTTGGACATACAAGATTATGAACTAAAAGTCATTGTTTACAAGGCAAGAAAAAGAACTTAATACAAACTTAACCCATCTGTGACAATCATTTGATAACAAGAAGTTTAAGTAACTTGGGATGCAAGTAATCGACTTAAATCACATATGTTCTACATCTGTTATACTGAGATAACAGTGACATTCCAATATCCTTGTTAGCCTTGATTGCGAGCCTCAAGGCCTATACCTAAGGCCCTACAAAGGCACCTTTCAAGCTAACTACTAACTTATTTTGCAACACACCTGCAAGAGCAAGCCCAACACGCTAAGTGACATTTACCCTCGGGGAGCTATGCGAATGGACAATTCCATCTTTGCCTTAAACATAGTTTTGGCATGCCCGGTGGGATCCCTTTTTTATAAGCTTGTATGCCAACAAGAAGAAGGAATGAGCGAACCTTCAGGTGGAACACAAAGTACGGACCACCCCATTGTCTACCAAGATTAGAGATGACAGATCACCTAGAAGATTTTCCCTCCCTGCAAGGTCTTGCGATTTTGGAGAGCCCAACTTCTTCTGAGAATTAGGGCGAAAGGGTTACCAACGAAAACTTGCAAGCTACCATGGTGCAAGTCTTGAAGAGTATGAAGAAAATCTCTGTGGAGACTAGAGGAGAGGTCAACAGACTTTGTTCATCAACTGGGAGTCTGCAGAAGAGGTTGGATTTGGAGTACTCTACCCCAAAAGATGGTCATGTTAGGGAGGTGATGAGAGATATGAACCCTAAGAGAGAGCCAACAATTCCCATATTTCATTTGCTTAAGGAAAAAGATGATAGGGGGAAGAAGAAAGAAGAGCTTGGAACCAGCTAGCCAATAGGGGAGGAGATCTAAGAACCAAGTTTGCCCGACCCTCTATTATTCTCACTAGATAATAGGGGGCAGATCGGGCTAAAAGAAAGAAAGTATAGAATGACTCAGGAAGTTGAGGAGTCTAGAGGAAAATGTGTGAATGCAGCTGTGTGGAAACTTCCTCCTTATAAGCCACCACTGTTAGCTAATAAGGAAGGGGAGGCCAGATGGAGACAGCTAGAACCACAGAAGGAAGTTACCTCGGGTAATGAGCGTAACCCGAAATGGAGACCTCCTTATACCCCATACAACAATGCAGCTAACCAGCAACTTAGAAATGAGTTGGCCAAGCTGAGAAGGATGGTGGTCTAGAATGCTCAACTACAGGCTCGCCCGCTGTTCAGGATCACCTACCAGAAACCCTACCCCTAGTATATTGATAAGCAGAACCCTTTTCCCTTCAACTTCAAGATGCTCACATTCCGAATTTTTAATAGAGATGACTGTAATATGTCCTTTAGAGACCATATTTTCAAGTTTTCCAA